ATATATATTGCCTTCTCCATTCCTCTCCCCTTACCTTATGCCTTACTCCTCTGCCCTGGTTTCAAACATGGCAGGCAAGCTTCCCGGCGCGGGCCTCACCCAGCCGCCGGAGGTAGCGGCGAAGAACCCTATTCGGGACGGGACCCGGGATCGAAAGCAGGGAACTTTACACGCGAAACAGTCATCTTTTTTTCTAAAACACTTCCGAGAAATCGATGACACGTATCGTGTAGCCTGCAACAGTTAACATCGCGACACAGGGTGTGATGGTTTGCATGCGCGTCAGTTTCATGTCTGTAGTACGAGAACAAAAAACAAAAATGCATTAGTTGTAGGTGCATTTGCAGGTGCACACTGTGTCTCGAGTTCTAGTCACTGCCACCAATAAAAAGACAACTCCGACTGATAAACTGTGTGATTTTCCTACAGCCCAACTAGAACCAATCAGTTAACTTTCGCGTGGGTACACATCGATGCCCATGTATTTACCATCATTGACAGCACGGACTGTTGCTGGCATACTGTTTTTTTATTTTGTTTTTGTGTTGTTGAAAATAACATCCGAACGGGCTCCATAAATCATATGGTGCCAAGCGACTATTTATGCGGACTAATTTGACAATGCCGCCACATTGCACTGCTGACGACAGGCAACATTGGAGGAAAGACAATCAGGTGGAGCAACAAAATGACGTGCACATCGAAATCCATATTGTTTTTGCATTCCAGCAATCAGCTTGATCCTCCAGGCCCCCTCCAAGCAGAAGTGCCTCTTGCAATCACCGTACACTAGTCAAGGCCAGCCTTCACCGTGCTGGCCGCTTTTCGGAAAGGTTTCTGCGCTGTTGGGCGTTGACCAGCGCCCCCCCCCCCCCCACCTGACATCCGCGCGCTGTCGCCAGACGGCTCTTATCGGGGCGGTCCACTTCCGACCGCACTGCTGACGGGGCGGCATCTGGCGACAGCAGAAATGAACGAGAATTTCACGTGTCGAACGAGATGCACGAGCCGTGACAAGTGACTAGATAAATGGGCGATGAAATAGAGGGGAGGGGAGAGACGGGGAGGATGAAAAATGGCCAGCATAGGGAGGAGCGATGGGGGCGGGCAGGGTGGGAGAGAGCCTGACAAATCAAAATTAATGCCGGGGAGAAAATACGGCAGTCATGGACTTGACTTTATAACCATATACATATATATATATATATATATATATATATATATATATATATATATATATATATATGTATGTATATATACGGTGTGGTGTAAGGTCTAGTCCACACGGCTGCTGGTGTGGTGTAAGGTCTAACCCACACGGCCGCTGGTGTGGTGTAAGGTCTAACCCTCACAGCTGCTGGTGTGGTGTAAGGTCTAGCCCACACGGCTGCTGGTGTCTTGCAAATGGCGTGTCCGGCCGCTCTGCGTGCCGACGGAGTCCTGTATGACCAGCTTCCAGGCTACAATGCATGCGTGAAAGACGTCAATCTAAACGGCAGGCAGTTTTCAACAATGATTGCGAGATAGGGCGTTCTTGGGTTATTTTTAGTATCTTTACTTGCGCTTTTAAAATTAGCATATCAAGTGAAACACACTGCATAGAGGCTCAATAAAAAAACAAACCTTGCATCTGGGAACAAATAGCTAGTCATGTTCCGTCATAGCATGATGCGGAGGTACTGTCTCGTTATGTTCTCCTGATGTGATGACGTGTTCTCCACGTCACTGTGAACAGTTTTTATCTATAAAGCGTCAGCCTGCATGCTTTCTTGTGTAATAGATACTCATCAACTTCATAAACTGACCAACCTTAAGCTACCAAATTTGCTTTAAGAATACAATAGATTACAACAGATTAGGTGAAAGAATATGATAGAGGGTGCATTTTGAAGCATTCTCGTCAACTAGATGTTTATGCTTGCCAGAAGTGTGACATGCAGATCCTTTTTGACCTCCATACACGGCTTTTATATCCCTCCGTAACATGGCATCTCGGCTGCATGCAAGAAAGTAAAGGTGCAATCGTCTGTCGCTACTCTCACCGCCACATGCGATGATTTGTGGCCGTTCGGTTATCACCCACAAACACATGCCTTTTGTAGCCGCCCAGAAATGTCTTTTAGAGGCTTCCTTCCATAGGATGTCATGGCCAATTGGCCTCTTCCTCCGCTGTCCCCGTGCAATCATCCAGGGATGCTCAGCCACAGGTGGTGTGATTGCTCGGAGGTTCTACATCACGGACTCTGTGCACCAGTCCAGGGCCTCCCCGTCATGGGCTCTGTATGATGGTTCAGAGTCCCCTCCACAGATTCTGTGACTGTCCGGAGGCTTTCATCATTCATCTCTGTGTGGCCGTTCATGGGTTTCCTCCATGGTGTCCCTGAGACTGATCAGATGCTCTCCTTCACAAACTCTGAGTGGCCGCTCTCGGTTTCTCGTTCACGAGATTTGCGCAATCGTCTAGAGGCACTTCCCCGCGCGTTCTTGATGGTCACTCAAGGGTCTTCACGGGCTCTTTGCGACTATTCAGAGGTTCTCTGTCACGGCCTCTTTGCGCTATGCTGCAATCTGTTCGCTATTTACTGCTATATAACGTCCCCAACGGGCTCTCTTTGGTTGGTCAGATGTCCTCCGGCACGAACCACGTGTCTCGATTCAGCTGCGGCTGCCCGGTGTCCTCCGACACGAGCCGCGTGTGTCGCTTCAGCTGCGGCTGCCCGGTGTCCTCCGACACGAGCCGCGTGTGTCGCTTCAGCTGCGGCTGCCCGGTATCCTCCGACACGAGCCGCGTGTGTCGCTTCAGCTGCGGCCGCCGGACGTTTTCCGTCGCGGCTGTACCTGTGTTCATCCTTCAGCGCTGTCGGTGGGCGGCTGTGCCAGCGGCGCCGGCTGGCAGCTGACGCTGCCCGGGTGGCCTCTGCTATGCGACCGCCGCTCGGGCCGCACCTGAGTCTCGCTCCAATGGTCACGCGCTGTATTGATGGTGACAAGCGGCGTGCCACGGGCGACACCGTGAAGCGCCGAGACGTCTGGCGCCGCGCCAGAGCGCCAGTATTCCGCAGAACATAAGGCATTCCTCGGTCGGTGAAGAACGCCCTTTCAATGAGGGTCGGCCCGCATACCGGTAATGGCTTTGTTCTTTGGGTGGGCCCGTCAGTTGTGGCTGGGGGCAGTGGGGGCAGCAGCGGGTCCGGCTCCCTCCACCGCAGACGTAAGCACCGAGGGCGGCCGACTCCATTGCGGAGGTGACAAGCAGGCGAGCAAGGACACGAGGATCCGGCGTGAGGAGCGAGTCTTGCTGGCGGAGCGATGAGGGGTCCAGGACACCACTGCCGAGCCATGGGTGCTTTCGTTTTACATTATGCGTCTCTGAGGAGGGACATTGCTGTTCCAGGAGCCAAGCTAGTGTTATGTGTCAGACTGCACGCTACGACATCGGTTTGAGGGGCCTTCATGCCGGTTTTGTCTTGACGTGACGTGTGAATGTAACAGACTGCGGACTCGGGATGAAGGACGCCACTTGGGCACAGACATCTCACCGGCGTATAGACGTCGGGCTGGTAAACACATCACATGCTATTTCATCAAAGAGCGCACGTTTACGCTTCTTAATTAGCTATATGCGCGGAGAACAGTTTGTCACATTCATTCGACGCATATCAATAGCCTGCAATGTGATTTAATTTCAAGCCACAGGCTATCAGCCTCCACTCGTGACTGGCATCGTAGATGGGGTTTGGTTTCCCTCTGGAGGGGCATAGACCCATTCCCCGAACGTTCAATTAGGCCCCCCGTTGTTTGCAACAAATCGCAAAACAATGGCGAAATGCGAACAACATCAAACCATTTGTGTTTGCATAATAATTGGACTCGGACACTTCACGTCATGTTAGGAATATCGGTCTACGGTGGACACTGTAGTGAGCGGGGCGTGCCTGTGCCTCTGCTTCCGAACGGACTGCGCCGCCCAGCAGCCATCAATCATTAGCCGGTGTGGCTGAGGTTGTTCATCGGAACAGACTGAACGGACCGCGCCGCCCAGCAGCCATCAATCATTAGCCGGTGTGGCTGAGGTTGTTCATCGGAACAGACTGAACGGACCGCGCCGCCCAGCAGCCATCAATCATTAACCGGTGTGGCTGAGGCTGTTCATCGGAACAGACTGAACGGACCGTGCCGCCCAGCAGCCATCAATCATTAGCCGGTGTGGCTGAGGTTGTTCATCGGAACAGACTGAACGGACCGTGCCGCCCAGCAGCCATCAATCATTAGCCGGTGTGGCTGAGGCTGTTCATCGAACATCCATTCGTGTATGACCATGCAAGCCTCTTGACAAAACATGTGACAGAGCAGGAGTTAGCTGCCACCTGCAATGTAAACTATACTGGATACAGTGCAAGGACTGTAGAGATGACCTTTTGTATGCAACAGTGCGGAGTACCACGGTGATAATCGAAGCAATGCAGCTCCTCGGAGCTTCAGGTGTTCTGTTAACCTAACGTTACTTTCAAGTCTTCTTATGCGGTTTTCACACCTGATTATTTTCATTTTGCCTCACTTGTTTCGCATCGGTGTAGTTCTTTGCGATGGTGGAGATGTACCGGGAGGTTTTTTATCAAAGGATTTTTACGCATATGAAATATCATCTGTGAGATAGCGGATAGCAGAATGTCTTACAGTAAATTAAACCACCCTGTGAAATGTCTTCGCCAAAACATGAACATTATCATCTGAAGCTTACCTCATTGCACCTGTTCCCAGGATTCCAGAAAAACAGCAGCCATGCCGTCCACCAAGAAAGGGGTGAGTGCGCGTGCGTGGCCAGCTGTGGCACCATGCCGCGCCTCCTGACGGTGCTTGCGGACCGCGACCGGCCTGACATGGCACTGTCATGAGTAGGTGTGGGGCATATCGCCATATATCTGGCGGTCTTGGCTGGGTCATGATTTTCCAAAATGAGTGGGGAGGCTGATAAATGAAATATCCGATCACTCTCCAAAATACGCCAACAGATAGCTCCTTCACGGCTGTGGCACGTATTCTCCAAAATACCTGGGGACCGGTTAGGGAGGGGAGGGGGGGGGGGCTTGAGCCTCTCAGTTGAATAAGAAACAACACACCTGGCGTCGTGGGTCATGGTCTTCAAAGATCACGACCATTCTGCTCGCTGCGTCTTTGCTGACCGTCTTCAGAACGACTTCGTCTTGGGGGCGGGCCTCTCGGGGGCGGACCGCCTGAAACATCAGATATGTATCCGTCTTCAGAACGACTTCGTCTTGGGGGCGGGCCTCTCGGGGGCGGACCGCCTGAAACGTCAGATTGGCACAACTCAACGGGAGTGCGAGCCACCTTAGATGGTAGAGTAGATCCATCCTCCGATAGGTAGATCCATCCACCGAGCCACCTTAGAGTAGATCAGATGGGTAGAGATGTCTCGTTTCACCATCAGAACTGTCTGATGTAACGTTAAGGCGCCCTGGCGTCCTACATCATATACCGATATTGACTCTTCCAGGGATTTCCCCTAGCAAGGTCGTGGAAGAAGTCTCCAAGCACTGGGCCACACTTACCTCGCTGATCAGGCATGGCCCCACTCCCGCTGTGTCAGTGGCGTTCTGGCCCCATTCTGGCCCCGTCCTCGCCACGCCACATGTGACCGAGTTGCATGGTAAAACTTTCTGTCGCCTTTTATCCGAAGCAAGGAACAAAGTGGCACAAATTTGTGAAATAAATCGGAAGCGAGTGACTGCTAGCTGATCTACATCTGGCGCTGGTCATTTTGTCCGGGTTCCCCTCTCATTCCCTCACAACTCCTTAAAAAGATCCGGAGAGGCCATTTAACGACCGATGGCTATTCCATCCAGTGGCACACTCTTTGTTTCGATGATCAAGCGACAATCTGAGAAAGGTCTGCTGTGCTCTTCGGCTGCCAAATAATTCTGTCTGTTTCCGGAGGTCCTTAGGACTAGTTTGTCTATCTAGTTTGTTTGTGATATCATATATGATATGTGTGACATGTAATATGATATGCGATATGATATATGATAAACTACCCAGTTTGTCTATCCTGTAGCCCCCGAGGCTTGCTGCTGCCAAGGATCCTTCACATTTGTTTGGCCCCGCTGGTGACGCTGGTGACCGACGTCCAGGTATCGATTTTCGGAAGCGTGGAAATGGATGCGCACTCACCGGTGCCCCATTCTGAGAACATTGAGCAACTTGTGTCTCCTTCCGAGAACATTGGGCCATTTTTGTCCCCTTCTGAAACATTAAGTCATTTTTGTCCCCTTCCGAGAACAGTGGGCCATTTGTGTCCCTTTCTGAGAACATTGAGCCATTTTTGTCTCTTTCCGGGAACATTGAGCCATTTTTGTCTCTTTCCGAGAACATTGAGCCATTTTTGTCCAGCGCGCTCGATCTTGATGTCTCATTATTGCTCACCGGGCTGAAGCTGGGGCTCATTACACCGACTCAGGGTCTAAATAACAGCGCATCCGACGACCGTGACGGCTGACAGGCTTTGAGCGGTGGGAGGTGTGGGCTGACGCAGGCTCGCTGTAGGTGTCTGGGGCCGACATGCTGCCTCGGCACAAATGCTCTCGGAATGGAGCCAACATGCAGCACCTACAGGAGCGACGTGGCACCATGGCATGGCACATTGGGAGCAGCATTGACGGAACTGTACAGTCATGAGGCTTCAAATATTTTCCAAAGCTACTTGGGCCGTCGATCCATTGGCAGCGATCCACGGAGCATCCCTGGCGTCCTGTGTCCGTAAATAATTTAGGTTCGGATGCTTCCCATGAAATTGATTCATTTGCGACAGACACTTCACGCGTCAGCTCACTGGTGGAGACAGCGATGGAACATTCTGGACATACCCCGAATGTTTTATTTCTTCTTCTTCTTTTCTTCTTTTTTTGGGGGGTACCCATAATATTCCTTGACCTGCTTTTGGTCCGTATGGTCAGTTATATTTCGGTATGTGCCGAATACGATTATCTCACAGGGACCACTCCGGAGGTTCGTTTCGAACGGACGCCAGCAGGCGGGGAGGGTCTGCGTTGAGGAGGAAAAGGCTGGCGACTTCTGCCGCTTCTTTCAGAAGACAGCCAGAGAGAAACATGCATCTAAGTAACACTGGAGATCAAACATTAGTTATAGTATTGAAATCGGCTTCGCGTTACGTTCGTTCTTACAGCAATAAGAAGGGTCTCGTGTAGGGAGGTCCACCCGACAGCAAAGTAGAGTAAAACAATTTGGCATAGACAATCAGCACGCATATATTTTTTAACGCGTGGCGTTCGATCAGCTGTAGTGCTGCTCACGCATGCTCACAGATCATCGCAAGAGGCAGTGGCCTAAGTCAACATCGTCAGTGCCGTCCTTCTCTGAAATTGATTTTGCATGCCTTATTTGCACGTTAAATATCTCCATCAAGCTTCGAGAAAAAAACATGACTCTTGAGGTATATGATGCGACATTTGCGCAGTACAGCTTGACCCCTCCCCCTTCCCGCTCATTTCTAAACCACATGGCTAGCTTTGTCAGTGACATGCCTAATGTCAGGCTGTGTTTCCTTCTTTATGGCGACCTAGTCTCTCTAAAAGAACTTATCCAAATGCTATGGTTACAGCCTAAACCCCAGATACAGGCACTGTCAATTTATTGATGGCATGGAACCTATGCAGTCTTTTTTGTATATACCTATACGTATATATATATATATATATATATATATATATATATATATATATGTATGTATATAACTTTTCACCATGTTATTTTTATGATTTCGGGGGGGAAATGCGCGCACCAATCACGCCTACCAAGTTTAATTTGATAAAAGCTAGACAGACCTTGTGCCTCTGGTTTTTCGGAATTATCAGTAGCGAGTTTCATTCTGACAATAATCTGCCATCATTACACCTGGTTAAACGATGTTATTAATAGAGCATTACCCACCTTGACAAAATTCGACGCATCAAGACGTGGTTTTGGCCACGGGTACTAAGTAATGTACTCGGTCGCGAGTACATGGTCACGAGTGGTCGGTAATGTACTCGGTCGCGAGTACACGGTCATGAGTGGTCAGTAATGTACTCGGTCGCGAGTACATGGTCACGAGTGGTCGGTAATGTACTCGGTCGCGAGTGCATGGTCACGAGTGGTCAGTAATGTACTCGGTCGCGAGTACATGGTCACGAGTGGTCGGTGATGTACTCGGTCGCGAGTACATGGTCACGAGTGGTCGGTAATGTACTCGGTCGCGAGTACATGGTCACGAGTGGTCGGTAATGTACTCGGTCGCGAGTACATGGTCACGAGTGGTCGGTAATGTACTCGGTCGCGAGTACATGGTCACGAGTGGTCGGTAATGTACTCGGTCGCGAGTACATGGTCGCAAATGCTCGGTCACAGTCACTCTGCCCCGAGCACATGGCTACCATGATTCATGACAATGTGCCTGAAACGTTGAATTTTGTGAATACACCTAATGTGGAGCGTGCGCATGAGCTCCCAGTGCCAATGCGGAGAAGAGGTTACAAAAATCATGTTGAAAACCGATAATAGCGCGCCGCAGCTGCGCGACATTTTGGGCGTGTCGTAAAGCGACATTACGTGTCCTCAGTCTTCTTAATTGTGCGCGTCTGCGGGAATTGCGACTGTCAACATATTAACCCACGTGGATATTTACACATGACATAACTTTGCTAAAGGGGCGAACACGTGCCCCGGGAGGGAGGGGGGGGGGGCTGTTTTGTGCGTGCGCCCTGCCTGCTTGCTTATGTCGTATGACAGCACCTACTGGTATGGAAGGGGGATCTTGGTCAGAATAAGATTTTCCAGCTCGTGACGCTGAATTGGACCTCTCGGATAAGCTTCGACTGATCACGTGTGGCGTTGTGTCGAGTCAGACATACAGGGAACGAAAAATACAAACCGGCTTGATGCTCCCAGTCTCCACCGGGCCGGCCCAGCCGTCACATAGGCGTCCCGCTGATGGCCAAAGTGTCACTTACCATTTGTCTGAGCAGCATCCGGTGGCTCCTGTTGCGACTTGCTGCAGTCTCAACACGTCCTCGGTGGCTGGATCGCCAACAGCCGTCACTTCTCAGTGGTGAGGCGGCTGGCGAAATGTATCTGGCGCCAGTGCTCGACGGACGGCCATGGGAAAACTGTCCTTGAGACAGTTAAACGCACATGTGCTCCTAATTTTGTGCGTCCACCGCTGCCTGCTCACGTCCTCTGGCCTGGGCGGCACCCGAGGCCGGCCGGGGACGGAGCTTCAGCCCACAGGCGTCACACTGACGGCCGGCCGGCCGGGTTGTGATCGATACTGCACAATGCTCTGCCATTATGATGGAGCCGGCGCCAGCGATGTGAGGCACTCGAGGGTCGCCTGGCACGCGCCTCGCCACGCCCACCAGCACATCTGTCTGGCGAGCCGGGCTAGAGTCGCGCACGGCGCCACTCACTAAAGCCATGCCACTGCTGTAAGGCATGCTCTATTCCTTAGGGCAGCTAGAGTCGCGCACGGCGCCACTCACTGAAGCCATGCCACTGCTTTAACGCATGCTCTCTTCCTTAAAGCAAATAGAGTCGCGCACGGCCACTCACTACAGCCCTGCTTTTGCTGTAAGCATGCTCTCTTCCTTAGGGCAGGAGGTTTTTTGGCTTGCTGTCCGGTTTGAATGTGCAATATTATTCCTATTCAAAACCAAAGTACATTTTTGTTTGTGAGGCAGGCAATTACTTCATGGCTTTCTTGACAGTTTTAATCGTTGATGCTATGACGTTGCAGGTCCCCGATGTGACTGGGGATACCAGTCCTGTGTGGTCGGATTTACTGCAAGCTGCAAACACTGTGCGCTACGATTCCAAGTGGCGAGGGCTATATTGATCATTGCCGCTATGGTTATGAATTTTGGGGGCAAAATATTGCACCGTAGCCTACGCCGGTGCCTACCTCACTGCATTGACTCAACGCAGAAAGGTGTGATCCAGGACAACCGCAGTGAGCAGCTCGTAAAAGCCGTTTCTTTCGGCGGCAATGTCCGTATACGAGCATGTGGGGTGTCTCATTAAGATCAGCCTTAAATTTAGGACTCAGTGCCAAACAAGCCAAATTTGAATATACGCGACGATTGTGCACCAGACCTGTGACAATACTTCTGTCTTCATTTCTAGTCCAAGAAGTCCTCGAAGAAGGCGGGAAGCAGCGTCTTCTCCTCGTTTACTCAGCAGCAAGTGTCAGAGTTCAAGGAGGGTTTCGCCATCATGGATGCCGACCGCGACGGCATCCTCAACAAAGCAGACATCAGAAACTCATTTGACATCATCGGCAAGATCATCTCAGAAAAGGAACTGGACGAGATGCTTAACGATGCTCCTGGTCCCATCAGCTTCACCATGTTCGTCAACATGTTTGCCGAGCGGCAGTCAGGGCCCACTGACGAAGACGAGGTCATCATTAAGGCTTTCAAGGCCTTCGACAGGGGCGACGGTAAGATAGATTCAGAGCAGTTCCGCGGCCAGCTCATGTCCTTTGGCGACAAGATGAAAGGGAAGGAGGTCGACGACGTCATGGCGGAGATGGAGTTCGACGAGGAGAATAACATCGAGCTGGACCCGCTGATTGAGATGATAGTCGGCAAGACGGAGGAAGAGAACGCCGAGGGACAGGGCGAGGCGCCCGCCGAGTAGACCCGGTACGTCGGCCCCTCACTCGGCACCCGAATCGTCAACCCTTCACCCGGTATGTCAGTCCTTTACCCCCGGTACGTCGGCCCTTCACCCGGTACGTCAATCCTTCACCCGGTGCCAGTCCTTTACCCCGATACATAGGCCCTTCACCCGGTATGTCAGTCCTTCACCCGGTACGTCAGTCTTTCACCCGGTATGCCAGTCCCTCACCTGGTACGTCAGTCCCTCACCCGGTGTGTTAGCCCCTCACCCGGTATGTCAGTCCTTCACCCGGTACGTCAGTCCTTCACCCGGTGCGTCAGTCCTTCACTCGGTATGCCAATCCTTCACCCGGTACGTCAGTCCTTCACCCGATACGACAGCCTTTCACCCGGTATGCCAGTCCCTCACCTGGTACGTCAGTCCTTCACCCGGTGTGTTAGTCCCTCACCCGGTATGTCAGTCCTTCACCCGGTACGTCGGCCCTCCATCCGGTAGTTCTGCCCATCACCCGGTACGTCAGTCCTTCACCCGGTATGTCAGTCCTTTACTCGGTATGTCAGTCCTTCATCCGGCACGTCGGACCTGCACCTGACGCGTCCGTCTCTTTCGGTATGTCTGTCTCACGCGTCCAGTCATCCCATCCGCTACTCATGTGTGACCCGTAAACCTGACTATTCAAGCCGCATACCTAACTGGGCACGCGAATGGCTGGCTGGCGCGCTCAGCAGGCCTGTGACCTATGGCTGGCGCGCTCAGCAGGCCTGTGACCTATGGCTGGCGCGCTCAGCAGGCCTGTGACCTATGGCTGGCGCGCTCAGCAGGCCTGTGACCTATGGCTGGCGCGCTCAGCAGGCCTATGACCTTCTATGCGCTGCGCGATGCGTTGGCCCGAGTATTACGTGTCCACGTGACTCTTGGCCGTGTTGCGCTGACCACCTCGGCCCTTTGAAGACTAAAGTGAATCGCGTTCCATCCCACGTACAGTGGTCTTGACCTAGGCTGACTGGTTACAGGATCGTCACCGTGACCTTTCATCTTTCCAAGCAACCCACTGACCCGAACACAGCTGTTCCGGGGCCTGGGACTCGACCGGGTCGAATAGTGGCGCCGCGGCGCGGGAACCGCGGGAACCAGGTGCTCGGGCGCCCGCGGGCCCTGCCGCCGCCGCGCCCCGTCCCCTGCCTTTGGCCCGCGCGCGGCGCGAACACAAGTTCCGTGCGCCGCGAAGGGGGCGCGCGTCTCTCATCCCTGTGCCGGCGCCCGCTGGCGTCTCTGCTGGTCCGAGCGACAGTCGTGATGTCTCGCGGCGCTCCAATAAACTCCGGGCCGACCTGAGCGCGTCTTGTCCTCGGCCCGCGGCGCACCGGCTCTGCGACCGGCCCGCCGGCAGCACGGCGCCGGGCCGGCCGCATGCCTGGCAGCGGCGTCGCAGATAGCGCCACGGGGACGCGACGGCCCGGTCGGCGCGCGCAAAAATCGCGCGCGCCCGCCGACCCAGGACGGGGACGATGAGGACAGGCCTGTTGCGCGAGACCGGCCGCCCTGACGGGCTTCAAGCGCGCCGGCGGACGAGGGGAGGCCGGCTCGGCTCTCCGCGCCTCCGCCGGGCGCCAGTCTGCCCTGAGCTGGGGTAGCGGGCGGACGGCCACCGGTACCGGACGACCGTGAAGGTAGCGGACGTGACCGCTCGGCTGTCCTGCTGGTGGTCACACAAGCTCCAGCCTCACAAGGCCACCTAAACGCCTGTGCCCAAAAACGTGGTGCAGGGATAGCTAAACGCAGCTTCAGCCGGAGAACTTGACTTTTCATGATTGTATGAAATTTGTATAAAAATCACGTCCGTAACAACTTTTCTCGGTTCACTTCGTGCTGAAATCATGTCAATGTTCACATGACGTCACCCGAGCAGATATCAACACGCTATCCAAATTAGGCGCCCAACATCCCATAGGATCAGATGATAATGGAAGCGTTCAACTAGACAAAATAAAACAGCGGTGTCTGGGAACTCGCAGTAACAAAAACTATGAGTTTGGTACAACGGCGCTGCGGCGGAACGAGCAGTTACCAAGTACGCATTGCCGAAGAGATCAACACTCAGATAACTATCCGTGACACAAAAACAGCGCTGGCCTCCCATAAACCAGGGCCAACAAAGAGGTTCGCCGACGGCTTCCGTAGCTCAAGCAATCAGGCACACGGCAACACAATCCGCATTGCAATCGGGAAGAACGTTCAGCCACCGCATCTTGGAAACCGATATGAAGCGTTCTGCCCCACGACCTGCACGTTGCTGGCCCCAGTGGATGTAACAAACATGGCACATGCGTATCGCATGGCACATAACGACTGTGTAGAACATATATACATATAGCTCGCTTCATAAGAAAATATTTTAAGCGTTAACAACTAATAATGATTGGAACATTTTTACCACAGTGTTAAGTAGCTGAAACACTCCAGTAAAAAAGATCGCGTAGAGATATTACGCCGGTCGGTTCGGTCAGTTCTGTCTGGCGTACAGCCTCGAAAACGACCTGTTTGTATGTTTCGCGAATGTAACGCTGTTAACAGAACAATGACCTACAAATTGTTCTCATTCGTACTCCCTGCTTTCCGTCCCACGAAACGCGCACCCATGCACAACAGCCTGGCCCAGTGTGCTAGGCTGCGCATCTGACTGCGCGGAGACATAACAGGCATGACAGCATAACCTTAACATCGTATCGCACTGTAGCAGACCACAGGAGCAAGACGCTCTGGCGGCGGGTGCCGCGTCACAACATTCGTCACCCCAGCACAGTACGGGGACGAGCGAGACCTGTGGCCGCGGCAAGCCTTCGCGTAGAACCGGATAAAAGCGATCATCAATTCGCGAAAGCGTCAAACACACACTCCCGCGTACAACTGCATACTTACTGGCCCCCATGATACTGGCCGAAGGTTACATTTGCGCGCATAAATAGCGTTGCAGCACGTTCCTGTACTGGTCTTGGACCACATCTCCGTAGTGGAGGTGGTCGCGGCAATTCCAGAGAGGCGATTCCTTTGGTTGCCGGCGCCACGCCTCGTCCAGCCGACACCTCACGATGTAGTTGGCGACAGGTGGCAGCACCGACGACCACAGGCGCACGGAGGGCGCCACCTGCTCCCTGCGGCAGGGCACAAGGGACATAAGTGGTGGTGGTGACCGACTGGTGGAAATCGAACCCCACGTCGCCAGCCATGGACAAAGTGCACACTGGGACACATTAAGGTAACTCCTGTTCTTAACACGGAACACGCAGCTGTGCACAAAGCGCACGCAAGTGCATGCACTGACCGCTTTTCACACCTAAGTCCCGTGCCCCGACCGCTTCCAGCTCGAGCCGACATCACGTGCACCGCCGCCGTCGTGACCGTTGCGCCAGGTCAGACGAACGCCGGAGGCGGACCGGCCCCAGCCGGCCCTGTTCGCCACTGGGCCGCTCGGCCGGCCGGCCGGCGACACTCACAGCCGGTCGGTGATGAGCGCGTTGTAAATGAGGTGGGCGAAGTTGACGGAAGAGGCGATGTCCATCATGTGCTCGTAGTTCTCCGGCTCGCTGAGCTTCCAGAAGACGCGCACGCCCACGGCCGCCAGCTGCTGCAGCACGGCCGCCGCCTGGTGGCCACAGCACGGATGTCACACGGCCGGCAGCGGCCGATGCCGGCGATCCAGCCTGCTCCTCCGGCACACCCACAGCCACGCGTGTCAGGAGCCCGCCAAGAACAGCTGCGGATGCCAGTGATGTTGTTCAGAACATAACGATTTCGAAAGCACATTGCCTGCCTTGAAAAACAGTAATGAAAACAACAGATGGCGTGACAGAGCAGCCAGGCATTGCGTTACAAAGACCAGCCAGAGCAGCCCCCTTCTGTGGCTGAGCGCCGCCGCATACCCGCTCGATGCCGGCCACCTCGGCCAGCAGGCAGGCGTCGAACGACGGCTGGGGTGTGGTGAGCACGTGCGTGCCCAGGCTGAGCACCAGCACGTGGGGACAGGAGGCCGGTCGGGCCCGGCACTCCGTCAGCATCGTCCGCAGCACGTCCAGCAGCGCATCGTCCGCCAGCCGACTCCAGAAGAAGCGCTGCCGGACACGCACGGCCGGCGGTCAGGAGGCCGGTGGCGGGGCGACAGCAGCGCTGATCAGCCAAGGCCGAAGCTGGCGCCGCTGCTCACACTCAGGACAGGTCAAACGCGCAGGGATCATAGCGCGGCACAGCTGTGACAGCGGTCATACACCAAGTCCGTAACACGGTTAATTTTTCAACCCACTTGCGTCACACACAGGACATTTTAGCATCATGTCTTGCTTCGTTTGTGAAGTACGACACCATCCCGGAGGTCTACTTTACACTGCCCGACATTTTGCTTTCTTCTCTGTGCTGCTTTGCAGATTGAGAGTGACACCAGAAAACACCAGCGTTCGGTCAGCACATGCATGACGCTGCAGAAGGCATGTAAGGTTCACAAAAAGCTTTCCAATGCGTAAAACGATAACGCCTTTTCCAAGTCAAAGGTGCCAAGCGCGGGGAACTTTGCACGCTCTGGGAGACAGCGCAGGCTGACCTCGTCCACATCACGCCAGTAAAGGCTTTGATAATGTGAGACCGCGGGGTGAGACGTTCGACCCGTCGGTGGCTCAAAATCTCGGCGTGACAGACCAAACAGCCGATCGCATACGTCATGACGCCCAAACATTCCCACAATTACCTCAATGCGGATGCCAAAACGGCTAGCGCATGAGCACCAGGAGAAGAGGCTCCATTTGGCGCGGCAAGGCCTACAAAGTTACCAACAAGAGGGAGATCAATTTGTTGAATGAATTGCTGTCGTAGACGCGCTGATTTGCGCTGTTAAATCCAGAGACTAGGTGGCCGTCGATGCGGCGGAAGCACGCAGCCACACCACCTCACTAAACGGTCACGTGGCGGCACCCTGCGAACAACAGTACTCACGCCATACCTTGGAACCACACGAGGGACGTGACATTAGCTCTCCCAGCTGCCCCAGATCCCGCTGCCACAGGCCAGTCGTGCGTAACCACCCCGAGCAAGCATCTCCAGGCGGCCATCACCAAAAACCGTCCACGGAAGACGGGCGGCCGAATCATCACCGCGACAATGCTCCACCCCATCACGCCGCTGTTGGGACGGAGTGTAGCTGACGACGGCATCGAGCTGGTGAAGCGCCCACGGTACTGCCCGCGCCTCGGCCCGCGTTGCCCCTGGTTCTTCACTCGAATAATGTACCACTGTTGCGGCCACTGCGACGTTGACGCGTGGTCCGCACTGGGGTCGGCAGTATTTCGGTATGACCTCACCCCCCCCCCCCCCCCCAACAGTCTCGGTGAAGCCATGGAACATCTCGTACACTTCCGCGAGCGCCGCACTAAAAAGGAAAAACGTTGGTAAATGGGCTATCCTATGGATGACGAGTATATGCCAACCAATGGCCAGTCAGTCGCTAGCGGAACTTACTGTTGAAATGCACTGGCATTTGCACCAGATTTCCGATCGAAAGTACGGTAACGGCATCACTAGAATGAAGAGCTCTGGAGCCCTGCAAGAGTACTTTAGACTATCGTGGGCACAAACGACCACACTGAACACCAGGGGTGACGTCGACGGGACCAGAGCTGGTAAACGTTGCCCTCGATGGCACGTGACACACGGAGACGCCCGGGAGTCCTTAGTCTCGGCCGAGCCATCCGGCACGCGCGGCCAGTCCACGTCTCCCACCAGCACGCACCAGGTCAACGAGAGGCGAGCTGGCGCGGTAGTGGCACCAGTCGGTGCGGTTCTTGTACACGAAGTGTGTGAGGCAGTCGGTGCCGTTGCGTGTGGGCGGGCAGCCGCCAGCGCCGGCGCAGGTGGCTGTAGAGGCCGCGGCTGCGCGAGTCGCCCACCAGCGCCAGGTGCAGCCGGCGCCCGAGCGCGCGCCCCAGCCGCGCCAGGCAGGCGGCCGTCTCCGGCGCCGAGGCGTTGTGAGGGAAGTCGCCGAGCGCGCCGGCCGGCCAGGCGGCCGCCGGCCGCTCCAGCTGACAGTGGCCCGTCATGGTGAGGGCCGTCGGCGGCGGCGGCCGAGACAGCTCGACCGGACCTGCCGGCAGGGTCACCACTCAGGCTCCCGCTGGTGACAGCAGGGTCATCACTCAGGCTCCGGTGGTGACGGCAGGGTCACCACTCAGGCTCCCGCTGGTGACAGCAGGGTCATCACTCAGGCGCCCGGTGGTGACGGCAGGGTCACCACTCAGGCTCCGGGTGGTGACGGCAGGATCACCACTCAGGCGCCCGGTGGTGACGGCAGGGTTACCACTAAGGCTCCGGTGGTGACGGCGTGCGGCTCGACCCACTGCCAGTCGGTGACAGACGGTGAAACTCGGCCACTGAGAACTTTGACCATTTTTGTTTGTAAAAATGCGCTTTGGCTCAATGAGTGTGAACAAACAAGATGTTTATACAGTCTCAGCATGACAATAGGCAAGCAAACCTGATGGCCTACAAGCATTCCATGTATTGGACACCTGCAACAAATGCAAGGCACAATCACCCACATGTAGAGTTGAACTCACTTGATGGTAGTCCAGCATGTTGAGAGTTGATGCATAGTGCTCACTTGGCTTGATACCATAGCATTGCAAAGAATTAAACTAAACTCAACAGCATCTCCCATTGATGATGATATAACTCTGACAAAAGCCACAAAGAGCCTCTTCCACTTTTGGTGGCACACGATAAGGCTGAGGGGTTTTTTGTAAACTGGACCTTCATTGACTTTGCGGATATC